CACATCCTGGTCTATCCTATCACTAAAGCTACACAATCACCCCTGCCGCTCAACCACAAGGCAGAGCACTGAGGACTGGCCATGTCCTGTTGTTGAAATACACTCAAGAGAGGACTACACGCCCTGCGACAGAGGAAGGCAACCTGGGTTACTACTGGCCTGCTGGAGAACCTGGGACAAACTGCATCCCTCCCTGGTGCCTCAGTTTCCTCATCAATGAAATGGGGAAAGTGGCACAGACCTCTTTGGGAAAGGGCTTGGAGACCTGCCAATAAAAGTGCTGTCTGGACCTCCCTTCACCGCAGCAGTAGCTCAAGGCGTCACACGAGTGTTTAATTATTTACTCAATTTCTATGCTGCTCTTCCTCCCAAAGGCTCAGGGCAGTGAGCATTGCCAGCTCCTGCCCAGGGACATTGCTAATGGAAGCTAAGCAGCATTTTAAAAACTCACGCTAGTTGGCTTGTCAGGATGCACGGATCAAAGCCCAAGTGTTACCGACGCTCGAGCTACTAACGAGGAGAGATGCAGCTGCAGGCGACAGCTCAAGTTAGCACAACCGATCCAGGCTCATCTGACTGCCACCGTCAGCTCAAGCTGGCTCTCAGTGTGGGCACTGGAGCCATCGGGAGGGTTTGCTGGGCAGCTCCGAGGCACTGCAAAGAGCTTTGCGAACAATGCGGACGATGGTTTGAATGCAACAAAACCACTGACATGATCAACCTTGCAGCTTCTCCCTCATTTTCCTCAGGGGTGGAAGGTTTCTTTTCCTTCCCCAGAGGCAGTGGGTGTCAGCAGCAGCCCAGGCTGGGGATGGGGACAGGTGCCAATGCTCCTGTTGGGACTTAAAGCTGGAGGGTCCTGGCTAGAGGGTCTTCCCCCTCCACTCAGGGTCAGCATCAATTGGCCATTTGGGGTCAAGAAGGAATCTTTTTCCCCCTATTCAGATTGCTGCAGACTGGGAGGGTTTCCCTTGCTCTGCAGCAGAGGCATGGCCCTGCTTGGGGTCTCTAGAGTATATGTTAACAACGGCGGCCACTGCGGTCCCGTCCCCCTGCTTTCCCTGTTGCAGGTTCAAATGTGATGTCAAGGTTGACAGCAGTTTTACTAGAGTGCAGAGGATGGGTTGGTCTGGGCTGGTGTGCACAGGGCTGAGATGCAGTTCCTTTCCAGCCCTGCTTCGTTACGATCCTATGATTCTCCATTCTCTCGGCATGCAGGGAGGAGACCGGCGCTCTCGTTTCCCAGGTGTTTCTCGGGGAAAGTCATAAAGCAACCCAGGTGATTGCACTGAAGCTGCTGCAAGGGCAAGTCATGCCGAAACGTGGGGCTGCTCTTTTCTGGTTTCATTTTCAACAGTCGCCCACCATCTATAGCACGTGCAGCCATCACTATCAAAGGCACGGGGGCACGGCCACCACCTACATGGAGTTTAGCCAGTTCGAAAAGTGATACAGCAGAAGAAACCACACCTAAGAGACCAGAGACCCCATCATCCCTTCTGTTCAATCTACTAAACTTTTTACAGTTCACGGAAAAAACTTGCTCTTCAATTTTCCAGAACTGCTAACAAATCAAAACATCAGTTACTTGCACGTCTCTGTTCACACATACGGCAAGAGAAGCATCAGGAAGGACTCCCTTGAATCTTGTTTTAAACACCCCGAAGAGAGGAAAGTGTCAGGGGACTTCTCCTTCCCCCTCTCTGCTCCGGAAGGGAGCTACATTTCTCCATCGCTCTCAGGATCACCACTTGCAGCTTATATTCTTTGCTGAGGATCTGCAGCAGCAAAGGCACTAAGACAACATGGATAGGTCCAAAGAACCAAGAAAGGAAGCTCAGAAAAGGAACAATTAAGATGATGAGTGTATGCCAAGAAATACAAGGATTTAGATGGACAGTCCTGAATAAGAATGTTTTATTGCTTCTGTTATGAATCATTCTCATTATTTGAAAAGACCACACAACTCTTGGACTTCACAATTGATGGTATTGAACATATATTGGGCTGAAAGCAACAATTATGATTAGTGAGATGGCTTTGAGATAAAAATAGAAGAATCATAAGGTACCTTGAGAAACTTGTTTGAGCTGTAGTGTGAAATGGTTGTAGGCTTCTGCCTCAGATCCCAAGCTACAAGGTTTTAGCTCAGGGCCTCTCAGTTCAGGATGATGGAGAGCCAGAAACCTAAAAGCATTAGAGACAAGGCTGAACTAGGAGATTTGGAGCTTGTTTTCTAGTCAGGTTTGCTCTCAAACAAGTTTACTTTTGTAATGCGTGCCAGCCCACTAGGCTGGTTGATGTGTCGGATTT